CATCCTAGGTTGAAAGCTTTGGGTGGAAAATAATTTTGGCTCAATTTCATAGGTATATGAGGGAGGAGGATGAGTTATTTTAGACTAAAACACACAAATCTCAAATAGAATTGGGGGAGGGGGGAGGGGGAGGCATTTATTTCATGTATTCTACCATTATCAAGCTTATGTTTGTTTGTTTCAAAATGAGAGAGAAGGATTTTTAAAAAATTATTTTCCTTATAGTTATAGAGTCTCTTCAGTTTGGTAATTAATGATAAGATCTTCATGCAATTGGATCCATAGTATGGATGAATTTGGAGGGTGAAATTGATAGAGTTTTAATCTAGGGTTAGTTTTTGTTTTTATTAACTTTGATAGGTTTGCTTAATTTTTTTAATACGAAATTTTTATGATTTACACATATGTTTTTCCTTAGCATGTTTTTGAAATTTTGTAATTTTAGGAGTCCATTTACTATTACTTTTGTAATTTATTTATTATGCCACAATTATTTTAATTGTTAGTATAAGTTGTTTCAAAATTTAATTATTTGATCTAGTGTTTAATTTAATTTTATTTTGAACTTTCATATTTTATACATATGTTTTTCATTAGATTTTTTTTTAAATTTAGTATTTTGTCATGCCCATTTACTATATTTTGCAATTTATTTATTATTCTATCATTTCTTTTAATTAATAATGAGGGTTTTTTTGAAAACTTAATTATTTGGTCTAGTGTCCAGTTTTATTTTAATTAGAAATTTTTAGGGTTGATACATATGTTTGGCCTTAGCTTGTGTTTTAAATATAGTAATTTTTGGAGTCCATTTACAATTATTTGTAATTTATTTATTATTCTAATCTTATCTTAATTATTAGTGTGGTTTGTTCGAAAAATTTAATTATTTAGTCTATTGTCTAATCACATTTTAATCTAAAAAATTTAGAGTTTGTATACATACTTATTCTTAGCATGTGTTTTAAATTTCTTACTTTATGGAGTCCTTTTTACTATTATTCGGCAAATTTATTTGTTACTCTGCTGATTATTTTAATTATTAGGGAGGTTTATTTTGGAATTTAATTATTTGGTCTAGTTTCTGATTTCATTTAAATTTGAAATTTTTAAGGGATATTTACATATATATTAATAGGTTGTCTATAAACTTTTGTTGAATTTGGATTTTGTTTGGTGTTTATTTTGTTATTTTTTTATTATGTCTCATTTATAATTTAATTATTGAAGTTTAATTTCATTTTGCTAGATGTGAGATCGTCAAGTCTTTAAGTTTTAGAGATTGATGATGATCTCATATCAAATTTAGTTTGTAATTAAAAAAAAAAACATGTCTTCTTAGGATAATTAGAAAATTTAAGTCAACCAAACGTGTCTCCTATTTAAATAGGGATTGATGTTAGTTTCGATCCTCCATAAAAAGTTATCAAAAAAAAAAAAAAATAGAGAGAGAGAGAGAGAGAGAATTAGCTAAGATAAATGCAAATCATTTTAAACACCTTTAGTTAATTAGGTCGTTCCTTGACATGTCGATAATGTTAGGATGTAATTGGATCCGATGCTAAATTGATATGATTTCCAATCTTGACGCCCGATGTTAATTTAATAGGATGTCACAATAAAAAAAAATGGCTTAAATGGTTAATAAACTTGGGAATAGAATTGGAAAAATAATTTGACAAATATAACTTTTAGGAGACATTTTTAAGATTAAACTAAACTTGATACCTTTTCTCAAAAATGATACTTTTGGGTGATTGTTAACTTTTCAAAAACATAACTAACTTTTTTTACTCGGGATCTCTCGAATCCAATGTTCCTTTAGGTTTCCTAATTACCTTTAATATTAGATGATAATTCTAAAATCATTTTTTTATTTCTTTTTTCTTAGTCAAATTTTTGGAGGTTCGAAATATAGGGTACCGACAGCCTAATGATTTGTACAACTAATAGTTTAGGAAAATGTGCATCGAATATTACAAAAAAAAAAACTGAAAATGTGCATAGCAAGCCATAAAGAAACCCAAAAAGAAGAAGAAGAAGAAGTAGAAGCATGTAAATTAGCTAATAATGAAATGTGAAAACAATTTATATTACAAATTAAAAAAGATTAATTTGTATCAATATTTGGAAATAAAAAGCTATTTATAAATAAAATAAAGCATTCAAAGGTCCCAAATAAAAAGATACGAAGATAAAACACACAAAAAAAAAAAGAAAAAAGAAAAAAATACATACCGGATGCTTTAATAGTCAAACATAAAAGAAAGAATGCCGACAAATACATCGATTGAACTTGGCAAGGAGCATAAACAATTAAGAACAAGCACCATTACGAAGACAATACCGATTGTAATACTTTTACAATACCCAAAATTTAACATCCATCCATTACATTCAATTCAAAATAGAAAAATAGAAAACATAATCAATTAACGATAACCATAGAAATAAATTATTTTTTCTTCAAAAAAAGAATCCAAACAAACTCTACTTTGCAACTATTTTCATAGATAATTTCCATCACATGTACTCGCCCAAACCTACATCTATAAATCATAAGGTATTTGATAGAAATCAATATAGCAAAATATTTCAAGGTATTAGAATATCTAATAACATGTATTTATTAAAGAATGCAAAATTAAAAACCAATCTAAAAAAACCTTACGAAACCAAATATTCACTATCTTGAACCTCTAAATTCATGATCATTGACTAGAAACTTTATTAAAATTTACCTCTTATTTTATAATAAAACATACAAAAAATATATAAAGTTGAAAAAAGAATCACGAAACAAAAAAATGTCAAAGGTCACCAACATAATCGAAGTCAACGTACACTTATTGCTTTTATTGAGACTTTTAATATATGAAATTAATGCTTCATAGGTGGATTTTTGGAACCAAACGTGAATGAAGAAAAAAGAGGGATGAAATATAAAATTATAAAAAAATTAAAAATTGAAAATGAAAAAAAAAAAAAACCTTACTAAGAATAAACCAAGATTTGGAGATACATTGTTTTTATATATCATGTTAAGTCTGTAAATTAGGAATATAAAAACCAGCCTTAATAATGGATTCAATTAACATCAACTTTTGGAGAAACTATTAATCAATCAATAAATTTAAAGCCTATAAACATATCAAAGGAACCAAAAAACTTAAAATTAATATGTAATAATTGGAAGAAAAAAAACTAGATAGTTGAGCAATAATATTTTTTAAAAAATATTTTAAGAATAAATCATATCATCCAAAAAAAAAAAAAGTTTTTAAAAAGTTTAAAACCAAATATGGAATGACGCCAAAACAACAAACTAGAGCAACCTACATTGCTTAAAAGCATTGTGTGTTAGAGAAATGAGCAAAACCAAATAAATATAAATCAATTCCTAAAAAATAATAAATATAAGAAAGATTTTGCAAAGTAAAAATAACATACCTATTTCTGAACTCTTCAAAGGAACATAATTTAATTGTTGGGAGAATAACGAGAAAATCCAAAAGTTAGAAAAGCAAACAACACAACTTTATAATAAAGTATATAAATAGAAAACAAAAAAGGAAAATACTTACATCAATCCTCATGTACATTTTTTTTAAAAAATCTCATGAGAAACAAAAAAAAATATTGAACTCTAAAAACAAAAGAAAACACATAAAAAATCCACAATAGAAAAAGAAAAATCAAAATTAGCTAATCACAATCAAATAACCTAATAGTGATACGAAGTAAAACTCATTAAGAAAAACTCACTAAGAATGATTCGAAATCGGTCATGTCATGTTTAACTCTTATAATAAGTGCTAAAAAATAGCTCAAAAAATCTTTCTAGCCTCAATCTAGAGACCACAATAATCTAACCATGCAAATAACAAAAAATATCACCAAAAGCTTTATTAAAAAACTTGTTAAAGACAATAAAAATTAAAAACCCATGAACCAATATTTATCTTTGTGTGGCTGAGAAACCAATCAAAACACGATGTAGAAATAACTCAAAATATTAAAAAAAACCAAACACCCAATACAAATTCAAAAGATTTCTAAAAAAAAAAAAAATAGAAAAATCCAAAAATATTATATAGTTCTTCCTCCCTAAATACTTTTCATCTTATTCCTTCTTGAAGATCAATTTAAATAATAATAATAATAATAATAATAATAAATAGAAGATGAAGCAAAAAAAAAAAAAATTTGAAAATTTGAAAGTAAAAGCGTAGTGGAAAGATCTAATCTTAAACGTACTGAATTCTCAAAAACTCATCTCAAATAACTTCCTTCTTCAATTTGAGTTCAACTACCCGTGTCTTTATCTTTATCTCAGTCTCTTTTCTGTTAAAAATTTCAAAGGTTTTTCTCTTTTTTAAAAACGATTTCTAACTTTTTTTGAAACTCAAACGGTATAATTGAGAGATTAAGGAATTAAAGACTAATTCATTAAACAAAAACGATTCTAAATCATAACTAGATTTCATATGTAATCAATTAAATTGTGATTGGATCCCATTATATATCAGCACACTTGATATATATATATATAAACAGTCTATGTCTTTGAAAAAAATCAAAAGTGTCATAGTTGGAACCTCTCTCAATTCAACCCAATAATGTCTTCAAATTAAGGATTAAAGTCATTTACTTATTTCAAAGGAGGCATATTTATTTTTATTTTTATTTTCTTCGAAGATAATTGCTACTCTTTCTCTTGTAAGTCTACATCAGTCCTAACCTCTAATGCCTACAGTTATTTACGAAATAATTAATAAAGTTTTGATATTACAAGTTAACTTAAATTGAGAATAAATAAATAAATAACTAAAATTAAAATGTTAAGGCTGCAAAATATGGATTTCACGCGGACTTTCTTTTTAAGTCCACCAGCGCCGTTTCTTGCGAGCCAGAGGCTCATAACTCGTACACCATAACCATAACTTCTTGCCCTTTCCTAAAATACTGAATTTGCATAAAACCTTTCCACCCCAACAACAATGAATTGTTTAAGCAGGAGACTAATACCAAATCTTACCCTTAATTTCCCTTCTATCAATCTCTCCTTTTACTCCAAACCCATTTTCATTCACCAAAAAGGGAAATTGACTTCCAACACTGCCATTACGTCCTCAATATATTATCCTCTTTCAGGTACTTTTTTTGTGTTTTTTTTAACAGTCTAAAATGATGTTGAAATTAATAGTTGTTGTGTAATGACGCAATTTTGCAGGGGTGGAGGATGATTTGGTGGGTTATGTTTTTGGGAAGAAGAAGGCAACTGAAGTAGCCCATTTGTAGGTACTTCTCTGCTAATTTACTTCAGTTTTGTATTTTGTTGTAATTCTTGTTCAATTCATGGTTTTGGGTATTCATTGTTTTAGCAAACGAGTTTAAAGTTTGAAACTTTGACAACCCTGTTGATGGTTTCTTACATGTTTAGGTAATTTCACTTATAGCTACTTCATTTGTCTAGTTGTTGTTTGCTTGTTATTTTTATGGTTTTGGGTATTCTTTATTTAAAAAAGTGAGTATAAAGTTTGAGTATTTTGAAAACTTGATGATGGTTTCTTACAGAAGTATTTTGGCTTTGAACATCTGCTTTTTTTTTTTTTTTTTTTTTTTTTTTTAAAAAAAAATTTAGGATATGGAAGCATGTAGTTCGAAATGGTGATACTGTTATAGATGCTACTTGTGGAAATGGTTATGATACCTTGGCCATGCTGAAATTGGTGGCCGATGAATCGGGTAGGGGTCATGTTTATGGGATGGACATACAGAGAGATGCTTTAGAGAGTACTTCTTCTTTGCTGGATGAGAGTGTCCCTTTGAAGGAGGTAATTATATTGTGTATCTGATTTATAATTTGCCTAAAAGTTCTATTATGTATTTTCATTCGCCATCCTTGGAACTCATAATTAAAAGTTGAGACTTCCATCCTAATTTTTATAGCCATCATTTCAGTTTATTGAGTAGAGACTGGAAGTTGTGATAGAATTCCAGGGGAGCTAATCTTTTATCTCATAAGGTGTATCTATATTAACCTCTATGATGCTTTACCCAGCCATGTATGGTTGTAAAATTTTTATTTTATTTTTTTTAACATGGAATTTGTTTGTTGCTAGTGTTTTGATCTTTGAAAAAGCAGAAAAAAATTGATTTTACTGTTCACGAAGAGATTATTTGAATTACCAATATTCATGCAGTCCTTACTGAAACTCAAATGTATGCAGAAAGAATCTGTGACGCTCTTTTCCATCTGTCACAGTAGAATGGAAGAAATCGTTCCAGAAAATAGCCCTGTGAGGTACTCATTGCCTCCCAAGTTTCTCCTTGCTCTTGACTTTTCATGTAATTTTTAGACGTGAAGTTAAGATGTAAATCATCAAGTCTAGTGATTTCGACTCTATTTGATAAACTTGTGCCTCTGAAGTTCGCGTTTCTTGATATGCTTTCTTAATGAATGTCTTTCTTACACACTTGGAATGTACCTCTAATTGGAATAAATAGGACTTCAGTTGTACTCCATACTCCTGTTGAAGTAATGTAATTTCTTTTGTTCTTCCAGACTTGTTGCATTCAACTTGGGGTACCTTCCAGGAGGTGACAAAAAGATAACCACAATTTCAGAAACAACACGACTGGCATTGGAGGCTGCAAAGAAAATATTAATTCCTGGAGGGCTGATCAGCTTAGTTGTGTATGTGGGGCATCCTGGTGGCATGTAAGTTTCTGGCTCGACATCATTCTTATTGCCATTTTGTTATGATTTCTGCTTAACCTATATGGTTTTCTGCCCTTGACCAGTCACGTCTTGCTCCATATAGTGTTGCAATATGATATGAGCCTCTTAAAGAGTTCAACTTTTCAGGATTCTAAACTTGCAGATATGCTCCTTCTTACCTGATATTGGTAGTGTTTATGTAAAAAATCTATTATTTTCAATGTCAAATGAAGTTTATGAAAGTAGGATGAACCCATTCACAACTGCTGGTTGTTTTGACTGCCGTCTGATATAACACCCAAATATTTACAATGTCTTGTTTCTTGATATTATTCATTTCCTTATTCCTTTTCTGGGACAAATTGTAGAATTAAATCCTAGTTGCATTCTTACTGATGTATGCCTTTAGCCCTATATGATTCTTCTATGTCAGCTTTTGCCTTTGTAAGTTTTGTTATCTTCACTAATTTCAGTTGTGGATTTATGTACTTCATTGAGGGTCATATGTTTCTACCTTCCATTTAACTGATGCGTGTGAGATTTATCTTTTGCTTATGCATTCCAGGGAAGAACTGGAGACTGTTGAAGCTTTTGCTTCTGGATTATCAGTTGATAGTTGGATCTGCTGCAAGTTCCAGATATTAAACCGACCTCTAGCTCCTGTGCTTGTTCTCTTATCCAAAAGGTATCATGGGCCTTGGCGATTTTCATACCTTTAGAGCTTTAGAATTTGGTCTTTTCTGAGACAGAAATTTCTTTATTTGTTTTTCATTTTTGATAAAAATAGTGACTCTACCTGACCCTACTAAAACTCTGAATATGGATGGATTCCTTACAGAGAGATAGCTGAAACACAATGAGGTTCTGCTATTTAGACCCATTTTCTTACAGCAGGAAGCCTACAGAAAGGATGATTACATCATGCGGTGAAAAACTAATCTGAAACCAGCCACATCTGAAACTACTGAGATGTTTGCCTTTTGTACCCATTCCATTTGCCACGCGACTGGAATTTTAGTTCCACAAAAAGAGATTGTGAAATCAGTTTTCTTTGGAAGACAAATCGTCAGACATTAGATGCTGATCTTTCTAAGGACAATGGTCCAGCAGGGAAACCTTTTGTGTTTACTGTAGGTTCGCTTTGATGTTTAATTATATCAATTATAATGCCATCAAGGATGTGATTTTGTGATGTCTAGTTATGTGAAATTAATACATGATTCTCAGGGGGTTTGTTGGATATATTGAAGAGAGGAATTCATATGATCAGGAAATGTGTTGTCAATCAAGCCCCAACTCTTAACATGGAAAAAAAAAATGTAAAAACCCTGATTGTCGGAGGAATGTTAGAAAGCAAGATTGCAGGATCCATAAAAGCTCAGCCTCTGTATCTGCGTGCTCCCTTTGACCATCATAACATTTTAATTTTTTTTTTAAAAAAAAATATTGCCAAAAAAAAAAAAATAATAAAATAAATAAATAAATAAATAAAAGCTAACCTTAAGGAGGAATCCCAGATCACTGACGTAGGGGTCAGGGTTTTCTCCTACAGGAAAGTGGTGCAAAATATTCAACCAAAGACGTAAGTATATCTTTATAGGAGACAAAATAAGATTGAGATACCGTCATGTTCTATCATGTTTGCTAAATCTAAAGTACTAATTTTTAAATTGAATAGACATGATTTGAAACATGATAAAAATGACAATAATTTGGTTATTTAGTCTTTATTTAGATACGCTGGAATGATTTTTTTTTTCTTTTTTCATAATGAAAAAATATATAAGGCTATTTCGGTGCTCTGGTATGAAACGAATTATAATCATTATTTATTTTTTCTCTTTCCTATCCTAAAGCATTAAGAATTCCAAAAAAATATATAAGTTCTGTTTTTAAGGATCAAATTATTATTATTGGAAGAAGATTACATGTCATCTTTAAGGGAAAAATAAAATTCAATTTCGAAGGATTAAATTAAAATTGTCAAAAGAAAAGGGACCAAACTTACTATATTAAATTAAAAATACAAATACGTTAAACGTCAAAACGACGATCGCGATGGGACTCGAACCCACAATCTCCCGCTCCGGAGGCGAGCGCCTTATCCATTAGGCCACGCGATCAATTGTGATGATCAATTCTTCCTTATTTGGCCATATTTTAATATTCGAAGTCAAACGAAGTCTTAGTTTTCGTAAGAAATATAATGCAAGCTTATGCATACAAAGAAAGAACACATGAATTTCAATTTGTTTGCATGTACTTACCTTTATCGTGACTTTGAATCCCACAATTTTATAATTTAATAGGGATCCAGATCTAGTTATCACGATTTCTTTTCAACCACCACCATTAGTACTAAAAGATTTAATACTCGATGACACATACAATTTTGACCAATATTGAACACTTTTCTTGATCCATTAGCTACCCTGAAAACTACAGCAATATCCTTTTTTTTAAAAAAAAAAAAATCTATTCTCAAACTGGGACGAATTTTTAGAGAATATGAGAATAATGCTTGTCTAACGAACTTTGTTTGCATATCGGCTGGAAAGCAAGGAAGAACTCAAATAAAAGAACTGCAAATTCTTGCATGATCTGCAACCATATTTTAAGAGAAGCTGTACTAGGTGGGTAAGTGCTTGGTCCCAGAAAAGTTGGTTAGAATTTTGATAAATCAACATGGCATCCTATTAGAACATTCAATCCTCACTTGGCTATTCTGACCAAAGGACTAATTATGATTGTCAAAACATGCATTAATTAATTACTACCCCCTGCTTTTTCTTTTTTCGGTAGCTTTAATTTGCCTAATTTGGTTCTACTATTATTTTTTATTGGAAGTATTTGTCATGAACTCAGAAGAAGTTCATGACTAGTACAAGAATAGAGAAAGTCATGGAACCACCTCGATTCAAGCAAATCTTAGATATCTAAACTATAACTATCCAATCTGTATTAATCAAAATATTTTATCACATCAAACTCATAATATCACATCTTAACTTAATTGATACTTCTTAATTTCATCTCAATCTATGATTTCGCAATCAACAAGATAACTAGTTAATATCACATTCAAATTTACACTATCACATCCAATTCACAATGCTTATATATATATACAACATAAATAATTAACAAAATAACATGACTCTTACAAATATAACTATAGAGCTTCTATAGTTTACAATAATCGCAAAATTCAAAATATTACAATTAAATGAGCCTCACATTCCATTCTTCAAGCAAACGGTTTTAAGGAGGAGAACTGAAAATCTCACAAACTTTGTAAAGTTGAAATAATGGAATGTGAGGAAACAACATCTCAAGAAATAGATAACACCACATAATTAAGGGAGGAAAACTAACAAACGAACAATTATTTAAATTTTGCTTAAGAAGCAATGCATATTTCTTAAAATCAAATACATATTTTAAATATCAAATCATCTTTTATATTCTCAAATCATTCAAAATCATAATTGAAACACTTATAATCAAATCAAATCAAATCAAATCAAATATGCAAAATCTACACATTGGGTCAAATCATATCATATAATGGGATGTAAACATCCAATGGCTATGCCCCCATATGTTGATCGACACATAGGCTAGCACTATACCTTTCACGCTAACCTGGAGCATTTTCATATTAGTAAGCTCACGAGCTATGCCTCCTATAGTTCGGTACCCCAAGGTAGTCAATCAAATCAAAAATCGAATAAACTTATACATATTCTAAAAATCCAAAACCAACATATCTAAACACAATTCATGCTCAAAATCAAACTTGATAATGCAATTGTCTATCAAATCACATAATCAAAGTCTAAACTCAAATGCAAACTCTTATTCAAAATTATAAATCAAATACTTACTTAAATTATACGAATAAAATCAAAATCAAGAATCTTAATCAAGCTAGTAATTAAATCCATATAATTAAATCAAACTTTAAGTGAAATACTTATTAAAAATGCATAATCAAACCTTTTTTAGAATCATATCAATTTTTTTTTACTATCAAATCGTCTCAATTTTTCACAAGAAGTTTGTTCCTATCTAAATTCTAGTAGATGTGATTATGACATATTTAAACCAATGATACATGATGAAAATATCAAAGGAACTTAAAAACATATTATGCTATATACTCGTCAACTTACAATACAATTAGACGATTAAATGAAGTCAAAATTGATGGGATGGAGTTACCCACTTTGAAGAATTTAATGATAATAAATGGTCGAATAATCATTAATATCACATATCAAAGAATAATTTGAAAGAAAATGAATTATTCTAGAAATCAAAATCTAAGACAAATTGCAAGAATACAATTTATCGAAAAGACTCAAGTTGAGGATTTTTAACTAAACTCTTGCTCTCTTAACTAGTTTTAGACAATTACCTAAAAAATATATGCCAAGTTCATTCTATGGTCTTTCTCTAATAACTCAATTTACACTTTATTACAACCAATTATCCATAATCAAAATTCTATTCAAATTTCACACAACTTGTCTCTATAAGCCACCATCAATTTTCAATGCAATTTTCACACAACTTATCTCTACAATCCATCATTAAATTTTAATTAAATTTTTACATAACTTATCTTTATAATTTATAATCTCAACCAACTTGAGAATTTCTTAAACCATAGTCTAATAATCAACTTCACACCACTATTATCTTATTTCAAGCATCAATTAACATAATTAATTATTAGATCATCAAATCTTCAAATTCAATTCAAGCCCTATCACTAACCTAATTCAATTTTTATTCTAACAATAAAACCAACATAAAACAACTTCAAAATCATCAATAAACTCATACGGACACCTTAATTTTAAAGCCAATTGACAAAAATTCTTACTATTGATGTCACGGGGCAACGTCGGGCGGTGAGGTAAAATGTAGGGCAAATGATTGGAGTTGACACCTAATATTACGGTTACTAGGAAACCTCATGATTGGTCTATTTAAAGTTTCGGGTAAGGGGTTTATTACGTATAGGGAACACCAAAAGTCATCTTATCCCGTCTTGCCTAAGGCAAGCCGCATTGCATACAACCTTAATTTGACTTCGATGAAAGTGCCCCCTTTGTCGAGTGATTTGGGACTTGGTCGGTCGAAGACCTTGTCCTCACTCTGTAATAAATGGCTAAAAATGATGAACACGAGGATATGCTCGCTAGTGTAGCTCAAACGACATGCATGAGAAACAAAGCGTAAAATGGGCAAACAAACAAGACCGGCAAAATGACAGAGTAGGCAACACGAGATAGAAATAGGTAAATAATGGCAAAATAGACGAATTGACAAATAGGAAAAAATCGACAAACACACAAATTGGCAAAATCGATAAACAAAAAAATATACAATTAGACAAAAATTGACAAATAGGCAAAATAGGTAATCATATGCGTAAATAGGCAAGCTTAGGCAATCATAGGCAAAAATAGGCTAAAATCAACTATATAGGCAAAAATAGGCAATAATCAACAACCGAGGCAAAAATAGGCAAACTTAGGCAAAATAGGCAATCATAGGCGAAATAGGCAAACTTAGGGAATCATAAGCAAAAATAGGCTAAAATCGACTACATAGGTAAAAATGGGCAAAAATCGACAACTTAGGCAAAAATAGGCGAAAATCGACAACAAAGACGAAAGCGACGACTTTGGCTAAAATCGACAACGAAAACAAAAGCCAAAGCTTTGGCCAAAATCGATAACGAAAAATGAAAGCCAATGCCTTTGTTAAAATTAATAACAAAAACGAAAGCCACAGACTTTGGTTAAAATCGACAACGAAAACAAAAGCCACGAGCTTTGATTAAAAT